AAAAATAGTTCCTGTCAAAAACCTTTATTTATTCTCAAAGTACATAAAATTTACTAGGCACAGGTACCAAAGTTGTAAAAATGGCATGAAAGAAAATAGAAAAACGTCTCAAAAGAAAAGAAAATCAATTTTATATATATGGACCTACATTTGACTAAGTTCATTTTGATTGGTCAATTACCGGTGTGATACCTTCAACCTCCATTGCGAATGTGATCGATGTGTTAAGATGAGTCGACAATAAATCTCGCGCACGCGTGTATCGGTATTTCTTTCGACATCTCTCCCCAGAGAGAAAAGCTGCCGTTCCAGATTTTATTCTAAATTCCACTAATTTTGCTAATTAGGAGAGACAAGTAATCTATGTTTGTGACAGATGTAGTCTGATGCTTACAGCTGATAGAAAGACGGCGAGGTTAAAAAGTCATAATTCATGTCCACTTTCGTTGCTCCCTCTGTCAAGAGTTCTAGGTTGATAAATAGGACACAAGAAATCAAAGCACTCGGGTTCAATAAGAGAGCCATGACCCTTTTACAAGAAAAAAATATTTACAGTCTTTAATGAACTGAATTTAACACGAGGAAAATAATCTGAAAAAAAGGAAAAATGAATTTATTTAGAAAAGTTGTGGACAAAATTTAAAATTTATATACATTTGTAGACGTTGCATCATGGATCAAATTTAAACAGCTGCACAGTTCCGAATTATCTCTTCACTTGTGAAAGACGTTAACTGTATCTCTTTGTAAATGAAAACCGAAAAAAAAATCGAAAAATGAGAAAGAAATCGTAGCTGAAGAAATGCATTATTTTTCTTAAATTGACTTTTTTACCGTTTAATTTTGTTGTTACGCCAGCGGTTGAACGTTTACACTATATTTTTACGTGTAGATTTAATTTGGCGATGCATGGTTTGGCCAATATACTAGTACCCTGTTGAACACTGTAACAAGAGCCGGTTAGCACTCTATGCATACATTTATGTGCAATGAGCTCAATTAAAACTGAAGTTACAGCGAAACTTATACTTGTTAACCTGCAAAAAATTAAGTATTTCATTTTCTTGATTAATATTCGGTCAGATGTGAAAGCTTTCCATTCGAAGTTCTAAAGGTTTTTAAGGAACAAGTTTTCTAAAAACTATCCCTTCACCTTTAATTTTTGTTCATAATTTTTGACAATCAATTGCATAATTCGGACAAAACTCACCACGAAAAATCTCCTAACCGAAAATCACTACATGTATGTATTTAGGAAAAAAATAAAGAAGACTGCGAAAAGGAATGTGTGAGTTTAACATTTGGACTGGAAATGTCTTATTAATTTTATTACTTTCAAGCATATAAATTGAGGGAAGTGTTGCTGATGCATTATTTTACATATGTTTTATCAATTTGTCCGTCCTTCCTCTAAAACCAAAGGGGGGTTAAATGAAATACATAGAGATATCGAACATTATTTGAGTACAAAAAGGGTTTCTTATTAAAAGATACATTTTATGTGAGGATGGTTTTAATTGTAAAAAGATCATTCAAACCAATCAATAGCTGTTTCGTAATGGCGGTACTCCTGAGACTATTTTAATCGTGTATATGACTCAGGTGGTTTGACACCCAAAGTAAAGCTTGCCTGGAGGTCGACCTATATTTTATTTTTGTCGTCATTATAAGTTTTTAGTCCGCATGTATCTTCAATCACAATATGGTACAGATGTTCCAGTTCAGCTTGACTGTGGTCTTCTTTATTTTGTAATTTCTTAAGTGATCTCTAATCATCAGTCTAATAAATACTAGAAGTAAGGTTTGAGGAATTTATATTTCCTAAGTAGAGTTTTTACCGACACCCGACCCCCCCCCCCCCCCCCCCCTCAAATAAAAGCAAAAAAAAAATGATATTGCTTGCTTCCTTTGCATCTTGAGTGATCTAAGTCACTTTTATATGGCATCGATTTTTTTCTAATCTGTGCTAGATATATATCGTGATATTTAATTCATGTAAGATCATTAAATGGAGTTTGAAAGTGTTAAATTTAATGACATTTTTAAGAGAGCCCCTTTCTTTGAGTAATGAATTAAATCCCTTCTTGTCACAAAAGTTCGATTTTCTCACACCACTCCTGGGAACCTTTCAACGATCAGTTCATGAATGGTCTACTTTCCCATGTAGAAGATTTTCGATGACCCTAAATCTAAAAATAATTATAATATATTTTAATGCCGGTAGTACTACATTGAAAGAAAGGTCATATTTCGCTTAAATGTAATGTGTCTTATTTAAAAAATGAACGTTTATTGTAAAAGCTCTACAACATAGAATTATAATGTACTAGTACATGTATATTTATAATGACTGTCTTTGAAGAAAATAAGTGCACAAATCGTATACATTTTGAGTACATATCTAAGTCATTTGACATCTATCAAAAGACGCAGTTCTTATGTGTACATCAAGCATTTGATCGATTCTATTTTTGAAATGTTGAAGGCAGTGCCATTCATGGGGAATTAAAAAAATAATTTCGGATAACTTTCTTTTGCATGAAGTTAGACCAAATAACTAAGTGAGAAGGAAACTTTGTTGTTAGCTGTATGACCTCTATTTTTCAATGCAAACTTTTTTAACAATTGATTAATTATTAATCGCTTACTTCTTTTTTAAAGGTTGAACCGGAAGAACTATGTCACGTGTGCAGTGTATATACCGGAAGAGAAACCTATCCCTGTCGGATCTGTTACAAAGTGTACCACGAAAGCTGTCTCCGAAAACTAGGTCAATGTAATGACCCAGCCTCGTCTGTCCTCCTCAAGAAAGCTCTCAAACCCACGGGATGGAGTTGTCAGAATTGCGTGAGTTTTTGTTTCACAGATTTATTTGTAGTTGAAATATTCCATAACCGGCTTATACATCACGCGACACATCGAACACTCACGCAATGATACAGTGTACATATCTTATATAGAAAAATATATTTTCATATAAAATCTTGGAAAGAAAGAAATTGTTGCTTAAGACTTTATGCATTTTGTATGAAAATGACGAACGGTATTTAAGCTCAACGTGCGTTGAAAATCGTGATCAGAGCAAACACGTACTTCCAAAAAAATCAGAGGAGGGATCAGGTGTCATGAAGTGACTATCCCCTGCCGACCGTCCACACCCGCCGTGTGCTCTTTGTCATGTTGGGGAAAACGTAAAAAAAAATTTCAAAAAATCATCGTAGACAATTCAGTGTGTAAATAATTGTCAAACATGCATCTACATGCAGTATGAAAAACTTCATTCGGATAGATTGTTTTTGCTGTAGTGGTCATTGTTTCAACCATTAATCTGGCAAAATAATGATTTCAAATCATGTTGTTGATATCCTTGTTGCATTAACTTGTTTGTCATTAGCTTGCCTCTTTATTTACATAGCTTTTTAAATAAAAATAAAAATCGTTCATAAGTAGCTATAGAACGTGTCTTTGCGTATTGAATCAACCTAGAGATAAAACCCCATAATTATGTTGCCATTTTTAAATTTTGTATTTACCCCCATTCAGTAATTCACTATATCTTACAGTGAATCTTTTTTTCGTAACCTATTCTTTTTTTTTTTTTATCTAAAACTGATGTAAATATAATTTAATCAATAATTTCTTTTATTCCTCTTATATACATGTACGCTTTGTGTTTTTGGAATCAGAATTCACTTTTCGTTTTTCTTGATTTTTTTTTAAATCTACTTATTCTAAGCTAACTTTTGAAATTTACAAATGCAAACAACCAAACCACACATTTACGATTTGTTTCCAACGAATTGAAAAAAAGTCTTCCTTGTTATTTAGGACGACCTGAGTAGCTTACTGACGGAAGAAGAACTCCACAATCTGTTTTCCTCCCTGGACCGGTATGAAGTGGCGCAAGGTACGTGTGTTGAATTTAAGGAACTGAAGGCACGAAATGTGTTGGGAAGATTTGTTCCTAATTATCCTTGTGGGTGGTATTTGAAAATTTTGAAAATAACAATTTTTATATTATTTTTAATTTTTCCGGACTACAATCTTGCATTAAAAAGCAAAACAATAAACTTTTTGTAAATTGCAATTTCAAAATAATAAAATGAAAAATCCTTTTTCTATTATTAAAGGGAAATATTGAAAGGGCCACATGCATCAAATGAATTTTATATAAAGAGTGCGGATTCCTAAAGCAGACACAATGTGTGAAAACGTTGATTAATTTATGATGCAGTGTATTTGGACATGTTTTATTTATTTATTTGAAAAAAAATAAAAGTTACAACCAGCAATATTAATTGTATCAAACTCTATCATAGATTCCAGTATAGGGTTGGAGGATTTTATGGAATATCGAAAGCGTTGCTATGGCGACCAAGATGGCGGCGAGGTGCCAAAGGATGCCCTACAAGAAGATTTAGCGCGCTTCCATCGGATTGACAAGGACAACACCGGGTCGATCACGTGGTGGGAATTTATCAACTTCGAGTCAATCCGTATTCTGAAGAAGCGAAATAAGGTAAAAGGGCTGCACTGTATTAATTATTTACATTGCATGCATTGGTTCTTAATTTTATATCAATTTTATGCTTTGAACAGACACTTAAAGTAAAGAGGATTTCTTTGTTTGGACCTTTTGACCGATTGTAAAATAAATGTTTTATTCTTTCAGAACTCCATCGTACATCTGCTGTCACCAAGGGAAATAGAAATCGCCCGGCGACTGTTCCGCGTCTATGACGACGGTTGCGAAGGAAATATCACCGAATTCAATGCCAAGAAAACCATCGCTGCTTTCTACACTCTATTTATAGAATGTGACGACACTCTTAATGGGTTCGTGATTATCCAAGTTCAAGTATATTCTAGCACAGAATGTAAACTATATACTGTATTATAGCCTCAGCGTTCAAAGTCCCAATCAATTTGAGACCATTTCATAAAATCTTAGAGGAAAGTGTAAAAATACTCTTTGCACAGTGGCAGTGAGAAGGTAACTATATATATAAATTAATATTTAAATTTTGTGACTTGTTATAGTATCTCTTTCCATTTTTTAGATTTGCTTTGTTATCAAAAAAGGATGAAGAGTTGTCTTCTGTTCTGAATGAAAGTTTGTCCTTTACGATGGACTGTGAACCCAACGGACCCAGGCAAGTTTTACATCAGTGGTTTAAAATTCCATGATATCTGTTTACACTATGTATAATAGAAGAATTTGATCATACATATAGTTACGCATATAATAATTTACAGAATTTTAAAAATTATTCTCTATTGCAAAAGAGAAATGCGTTCTGCAGTCATGACTTAAAATTCCAATGTTTTTTATCTTTTCATTTCCAGAAGTGTTACTTGGCAGGATTACCTGTTAGAACTAAGTCTGTACAGTCTAGCGGCACGGCCAAACTTAAGTCCCGTACCGGTGGAGAGTTCCGAATGGACCAAAGGCGTGGTGGTTTCCACAGAGATGGACTGTGACCTTAAGCGAACAACATTATGACCTTGAATCTTACAACCAGAGAGAGAGAGAGAGAGAGAGAGAGAGAGAGAGAGGAGGGAGAAGAAGAGGGAAAGAGAGAATAGGTGCTTTTTATACATAAAAAGAAAAAAAAACTACTATGGACAGTTTGATTTAAGTTAACAGGTGTACCAGTCATCTGTATTTCGCTGTTTCTGCATTTAGATCTAAATATATATTTCTGCAAAATTATATTGCATGCGTACATGAACTTGTAAATACATGTACAATGTTCATGATTGTATACATGCATTAACTTTAAGTTGACATATACAAATAATTTTTTTAAATATTGAAAAAAAAACTCCCGTGGAGAAACCAAGTGAAACTTTTTAGGTTGAACCCCATGCAATAATATCCAATATTATATACACATGTAACAGTCAAAGCAAAGTATTTGGGCATTTAAGCTGTTGAAAAATGTTCAAAATGAAAATATGTGATGTTTCACATTCACATATGAAACTTGAATAAGATAATTTTTGTAAGTTAATTTTTACCTGATTTTCTAACACCTGCCAAAATTCCAAAACGATGTTCATATGATTTCTTTAAACATGGAAATGGACTTTTGTAGGAAAATAATCTAAAGCTTCTCTACGGGTACCGTTAGATAAGAAGAAATGGAAGCAATCGATTGGATATTCAAAACGGTATAAAAATTTATAAAGAACATTTCATAAATCAGCAGATTACTTGTTAGAAATCCATTTAGGTGCACACGTTTATTAATGATTGTTTAATGATCATACAAAAAGTTTGAAATTTTTTGGAAAACTTATTTTTTTCCAATTTAGAATACCCACTAGTGATTTTCTTTATCTTTGAAGATTACAATACATTTCATAAACCGGTTTACTTCAAAAAGACAAAGGTGGGAGAGATGCAGTTTTCATTTGTGTCTAAGATTCTATTGTATAAAAGATTTATTTAGATTTAAGACTTTTCCTTGCTTCTTTCCGTGAGCTCACTAACGTCCATCCACAACAAATCGATTGTTTCAAAGTTTGGTTTGAATTTAAAGGTGTTTACCATTTAACGGACATTTACAAAGAAGGACAACTCTTGTATAGAGTACAACATGTACAGCAAATGGCATCAAAAGGACAATCGCTGCTAATCAGAATTTTTAAAATCATTTTTTCTTCTATTTTTAAAGTTTTATGAATTGCATTTACCTTATAGAACATTGCCTTGTATATGTTACTATTATTATATCGTTCTTCTTGTTTTAGTAATATAAGATTTAGATTTTACAATCTCCTGCTGTAGAATTTTTGAAAGATAATAATTTATAGTACACTTGGCATCTATTTGTATATTTTAACAATATTTTACCATGCATTAATTTTGATTTGGTTTTTAGGGGGCAAGAGTTTAAGAAAAAGGTAGTTTTTTTTTTAAGTGAAAGTGTCTAACATATTGCTCTTTAATTTTTTTTTTACTTAGAACTTTTACTAACTATGAAATCAATATTAAATAAATAAATATAATAACATTTTTTATTCTTTTGTAATTTTTTCCATTCAGAGTGTGTACAGCTGTACCAGTTTATATAAACGCACATCTTGCTTCAATATGCGTGATGACAGGTATTTGGAATGAACACTATCCTGATATTTTTCGCTTTCTATTTATAGTGTCCTTCTGAACTCCAGCTTTCCACCTTTTTACATGGCGTAATTTTCTTTCTTTCTTTTTTTTTTGGGGGGGGGGGGGCTATAGTTATTTTTGCTTTATGTCTCTGGTACATAAGTATGAAATGTTTTAAAGGCCTAGAGAATGCAGTAGGGAGGGGATGGGATGGGATTGAGCCCCCTTTTTACCTGAGTTTTGTATTATTTCCTATACTTAATTCTCCCTAAATGCCGGAGCCCCCCTCCCCTTACCTTCACACTTTACATGTAGTTGCAGTGAGGATGAGCACTGACAAATTCGAAGATCGGACAGTTAACTTGGTAGTAGTTTTTTATTTGCTTTTCATGGTATCTTGGAGTTTGAGCCCTATCTCACTAATTGGTCAGTTTTCAATTACTTGTCAGATTTTTTGCTTGTACCCCCGACCCCCCCCCCCCCCCCCCCCCTTTAAAACCGTTGTTATGGGCCTGTATTACACAATTTATATTTTAACTGAAACATGCACGTACAGACACACAAATGACGCAGAAATCCAGACAGTGGTCCAAGAAACCCGAGTCGTTCACTCAAACTCATAAATATTTTAAATTCATATACTTTACATTGTCTAAATCTGCCTATAGTTTACATGTGTATGTCGCTGATTGAAATGTTAATAAAAATGTTAAGGAGGGGGTCAACAAATTAACCATCAGGTAAAGCTTCATTTTTCAGAATGGACATCTTAAGCTGACAACTATCATTTGGCAAAGAAAAAATTCATACATTTTAGTTTTTAAATTTGGTCATTTTTTGTATATCTTCATAAGATCGAGGTCTTCTTCTAGAGGAGATGAATGTAGTATAAAAATGGCTACAACATTTTTAGAGGTTGAGCTTTAAGTTTAAATAAAGTCTAAAAATGGCCACAACCCTCCAGCCCCCTTATGAGTACAATTCTCATTTATTAAGTTACTCCGATCCTGAGCCAGGAAGGATAACTCTATGATTTATAATTTAATTCAAAAAGTCTCAGTATGAAGTTTGAAAATTAAAATCTTTTCGTGCGACAATTTCTTTTTATTTTATGCATCTCAATGTGCTTTAAGGTCATTTGCAGTTCTAAGAAAGGTCTTTTTAAAAGTTGAATTTTTTTACTCTATTAAAGTATTTTAAAATAACATATTTAAAGAAATCGAGGTTATTTTTTGCTAACTATAGATACCAATGTTTATTAACATGATATGAAATAAGAAGTGATTGATGGCATTATTCAATGAAAAGAAAATCTCTATATATACATGTATGCATTGTAAAATGATCGAAGTAAAAAGAACTTAAATACCTTATACACTGTAAGTGTAAAATTTGCGCAATTTCCCCAAAAAGCCTGGATACCTATAACTGGTATCTCTAAAATATGTTTTTTAATCAAAATTGAATTGGAAAATGCATAGCAGGTGTTTTTATTCGCATTTCCTGAAAATTACTTTGAGATTTAATAATTTTCCTATAAAATTCTATATATTAATATTTAAATACATGAAATATGAGAAGAATCCTACCTTAAGAGATAGATATCCTTAAACGTAACAGAGGAACGATCAGACAGACGGACATCCCGATCACTATGAACCCTCCCACTTTCAAGCGTGGGGAGGGGGTATAACAAAAACAAAGCTTAATGTTGAAATCTCAGCTTGGGAAATCTGCAGAGATTTAACAAAATTAAAGGACTTACCCAGAAACTCTGCAGACCTAACTCTTGGACCAATGATCATCTTCCCATTCTTTGGGCTACACCGATATGTACTGGGCTATAAACTTAGGAATGGCAGTACAAGTAGTGCGCTAATATTTACATTATGTATGCAACCAGGCACAATTTAACAGCTACGGGTCTATTTAAACAATTTGATTGAGGAACAGAGATCAAATTGATCCACTGTGCGTGATGGACCTTTTGTATTTTAAATAAAATTTCAGAGAGACAATAAAGATTGAATGAATGAACACTCGTGCCGATTTAAATGTAACGTAAGATAAAGAGATAACTGTATACACTTTAAGCTCTAAAAGGTATGTACATGAATAAGAAGTGTTGTATTGAATCACATTGGAAATTCTATGTCAGAGTGCATGTACAACTAAAATAGTAGATTTCCTTCAATTATATACACTGTACTCGTCAGTATTATAAACAAACTTTAATTCAAGCGTTTATCTAATAATTTTGATACTGCTACTTGAAAAGCAATTTTCACTGACAACAATGCTTGTGGACAAGGAAATCATTTCCAAATATTCACCCAAAGTCCAAAGATTTCTTTTTTTATTTCATTGCTAGTATTGTATAATCAATGCCGCAAGAATAACTTTTTTTAAGCAAGAAGTTTATATTTTACAAACTTTCTATTTGATTTTCTAATTAGGATGCATTTTAAACACTCGACTGGAAAATATGTGCTAAACGAATAAATAATCAATTTGACAGATAAAACATCTCTTTGGGGTGTATATTCGGGCAGTCGAGTGATGTGTCCCAGCTGTTAAAAAATACTCAAGGGGACATTCTCCACACGTGTGCATACATGTTCTTTTTTTTTTAATTAAAAGGAAACCTGACAGAATAATGAAAAATACTTTTAATGCCAAATATAATTGAATATACTTTTACGAAGTTAAACTTTTAAAATCTTATTTGATTTTAAAAAATAAAAATAATGGCACATTTTTTATCAAAAGGAACGAAACAGGAAACAATGCATGGACGACTTAATCAATCATTTTTGACAAGGAAAGATAACTCTCAAAAGAAAACAAAAATATGGACACAAGACGACGAAATGTGTTATCAATGTATTTTTCTGGATTTCTGGTGAGATTGTTGGTTGTCACTTAATTTTAATTGCAGGAAATTCTTTGATAAAGGTTCAGTAGAGTTAAATAACACTTCTGTTCTGGTTTTAGCCATTTTTCCATGTTGACAAGTTAGTTACGAAACGAAACTATTTTAAATTTGCATATTTCGAAGTACAAAACCTTTTTTATTATGATGATGATAAAAGTTTTATCAGCCGTATGAAATTGGCAGTCTTATTTAATTCATTTGAAATATTGTTTGGATGAAATAGATTTTTAAGTTAGTAGACTGAGTAATGTCTATTTTTGTTAACTTCAGCTGTTTAAAATATTGAACCGAAGTTTCTTTAACTTGTCCCTTGCACAGGGAGTCGAGACAGTCTTAGCAAAATCGGGTATATCTCCCCTATTATACTATACACGCTATTTTGCTTAGACTGCCTCATGTCCCTGTGGTCCCTTGTAACAGAATTTGTGATAAACATGTTTTTTTGTCACCCTTTCCCACATAAAGTGTTATTAAGAGAATAAAGTCAAACTGTTAACTGAAAACTAGTAAAAAGAAACCAAAATACCACTTTAAATGAGGATATATTAAAACACATTCATACTACACTTCAGTATTTCTTTAAGTTTTACCCTGTACAAGAATCAAAACAGCGATTCACTGATTCTTGTTTTTTTTTTTTACACCTGTGTGATTTTAGGACCTGTTTGGTGTCAGTATGATCCTCCCCCTTATATCCACCCACGCCAGGGATCTAGGAGCCACGCCCACAGTGACAGGGATCATAGGTAAAATATTGCTACACTGTTGAACGTTACAGAAGTAGCTGTGATACTGTGATTTTATTAATTGAATTACAGGTGAATTTCTGTAACATAGCAATGTTAACAGAGGTTAATCATTTGTACATGCGTGACATTCATTGAATCTGAATATTTAAGAAGGATGAATAGATAAGGATAATTTTTAGATATAAATTATCTTTGCATAATGCCAAAATTGAAATTTCATAAAACTGTTGTAAATTGTAAGTGAAATGCATGAAAAGTAGGATATATGAAAATATTACATTGAAACTATTTTTTTATGTTTAGGGTCTACATATGGAGCTCTGCAGCTGCTGTCAAGTCCAATTGTGGTAAGTAAAGAAAAAAAATTCATTAAACATTTTGTCTTAATTATCACGTAAAATATACTGGTACATCTAAAAACTTTTAAGTTGAAGTTGATCAATTTTGGCAAAAAATAGATACTATGATATAGGAGTATTAATTAGTAAAAGCCTGAATGAATATCTTTGTTAATTTACTGAGAAATATATTAAGATATATATTATTAAATGTTTATAACTATATTTATGAATAAATTAAAGATTGCGTTTTACATGTATCACATTTTTAAAGCCAAAAATCCCAAATGGAGGGAGATCTTCTTTTTCCTCTTTTTGCACGTTTTATTTTTTTTACAGGGACAGTGGAGTGACAATGTGGGGAGGAAGTTCTGTCTCCTCTTCTGTTTGCTGGCCTCAGCGGGGGGATATTTCCTCATGAGCTTCTCTACCACCCTCATTGTCCTAATGCTCTCCAGGATTCCCACAGGTATTTATTCCACATGGAGTTTCATCTAATCTGACATATTTTTTGTTAATTCATTTATTCTGAATTCCAGACATAATCATTGTGTGGTTATGCCATATAGAAGACAGTAATTCAAGAATTTGTAAATGCTTTGCCATAATGATTGTTCGTCATTTTTGAGTGAATTCCAATTTCAATTCCTGAATGAAAAAAAAAAATTAAAATTTTGCTTTATTACTGATGGAGAATTATAATTCAAAATGTGGCAATTTCTTCAGAAAGAGGATTGTACATCAGGAAAACCTAGTTAAAAACTTAATTTTTTTCAATACCTTATGGGAAAAGACGTGTATGACTTACATAATAAAACGTGAAAGTATTGATTTTTAGAAGGATTACAGTGGCATTGGAGAAAAAGCAAAAACAGATGCTGCTAAGTTTCCAATTTACGAAATTAGAAGTGATCACAAAACAAATTATGTTTCACTGTCTTCTACTAGAGAAAATACTATTTGTAATTATTTACAAACATCTTTTTGGTTGTTTGTCATTATAGTTAATAAAATGAATGTTCAGGCTTCAATTTAAAACTGAAATTTAATTAAAAAAAAAAAAACTGAATTTTTTTTGTTTTGAAGAGACAATGCAGGTTTCTTTACTCTTAACTGCTATGAATTTTCAAGAAAATAAAAAGATTCATTTTTTTCACAGTTTTTAGTTGAAAAGTATGCACCTCCATAAATATTTCACTCTAAAGCTGATAAAGATGTTTTTCATGTTATGTAGTAAAACTTAAATTGCCATCCAGAATAAGGAATTTGCTTTATAAGAACCCAGTTAATGCTCTCCATTTAATGAGGAAATTAATGCTATTTATGAAAGTCTGTCATGAAATGCAGTTATTTTTATATCTAATATAAGAATCAGCGGTAAGGAAATTTAAGTATTCATTCATTGATGTAGATGTTCATTCATGGATAAGGGTGACCCACAGAACTAAATTCATTGGTTTACCACGAACAATGATGATTTTACAGTACTTACTGAGTGGAATACACTGCACTTATAAAGTTAAAGATTCATTCATGAAAGTGTGAATGGATCTTAATGAAAGTTAATTTAGAATAAAATGATCCTTGTTTGTCGTTATAGGTATCTTCAAACACAGCCAGAGTGTATCTAGGTCATACCTGACAGACGTGTCCCCCCGGAGTGACCAGTCTGGGGTGCTGGGGACCTTCAATGCCGCCTCCAGTATCGGCTTTATTCTGGGTCCAGTGGTGGGGGGCAGGTTGGCAGAGACCAGTGGGGGATTCTACAAAGTCACTTTCCTATGTACTGCTATATTTATTCTCAATGCAGGTCAGTATATAAATGTGATATACAAGTTATCTGTCACTTTAATCATATTGGATATTTTTCTGAATTCTGTTTCAGTATGTTTTGCACTTATATAAGCAAAAGACCTCGATCTGTGCCATATTAACCTTTAACTAAGTTTTTTGACGTGTTTAAACTGATTGGAGTGGGTTATTTGATGTAAAACTGATCCCAACAGATCAGAAATGAACATAACTTTCAGAAAAGAAAGCATCTTTTGTAAGCAATATCAATTGCTTCCAGAATGATTGCAATTCTTGCCAACACCAAATACATCTTCCCCATATTCGTAAAAAAATCAGGAAAACATGCCTGAAGAAAGATGCAGGGGACAAACAATATGCAGCTTTATGCTTTAAAACTTCCAGGAATGAAAATTACTTTGATATTAGTATGAATTCAATTTGAGTGCTTGCTGTAATCATTTTTTACTGCAAACTTTTTTTCTTATAGCTGTTTGCCTTTTCCACTGAAATATTTACAGGATTACATTCACCTGTTTTTTTTTTTTTGCCCTTACACACTTGCAAACAATTTTGCCCCATTTTAATTTTGCCCAGTAATAGTTTTGTTTAAGAAATTATGCTTCATTCTTCAATTTTGCCTCAATTTTAAATTTGACCAAATGAGGACAGGGCAAAAGGGGCAAAAAAGGGGGCGAAAATTTTCCTAAATACAGTATTAAAAAAAAATATAAACTGTAGATTCCTAAATATACGAGTGGAATAATTTATCGCGTAATTTCGTGAGAAGCACAACCCATATCGAAAAAAAATATAAAAATAATACAAGAGAATAATACAAAAATAATACAAAAAAAGTATATTTTTAATGACCAAATTTGGAACCCTCAAAATCTTGGTTCCAAATTAGGTCTAAAATAATAGACCAGTCACAAAAAAGTATATTTTTAATATATTTTATTTTTTAGAAATAATACAAAAATGATAGGATTGATTGGTTACATTGTATTATTTTTGTACTTCTGTATTATTTCTGTATTTTTCTTTCCAAGTATGAAAATAATACAGTGGTCAAAAAAGTATGAAAATAATATAAAGTGTATTATTTTTGTATATTTACCAGAGAAGAAATAAAAAAACAGAAAAATATCAAAATAATACAGTGTTCAAAAAAGTATGAAAA